AGCGTCTCCCGCAACGCCGGCCTCGGTAGAACCCTTGGCAGCAGGAACGCTAACCGCGGCTTGCTTATTCCTTGAGCGTCTCGTTTCGGCTTCCTTCCAACCCATTTCTTCCGTGCAATCCTCTGGAGAGATGTCCTCTCCATCTACTTGGTATTCCATTCTCAGTTGCAGATACTGGAACGCGCAGAGCGTTGAGTCGCGTTGGCGCCGGGCCGGCGCATCGGCGACAATCGCCTCCTTGGTTAGGCCTAAATCCCCCGGTGGCGTTGCCGCGTAAAAATGTCACAAAAAACGGTTTAAAAGTCCACTCACCGGCACACAGGTGGTATCTGCTGATTTCTTAAGAACTTAGGCACACGATGAAAGTAAAAACTGGGCGACAAATTCGTGAATACCACAGGAAAGCATTCTTGAAAGCAGGAGCCGATCTTCGCGCGTCCGCACTGGTCGGCACCTAGAGCGTCTCCCAAAGCGTTGGAAACACTCGCTTTTCCGTGCAAGCGTTGGATGCTAAGCGCAGCGCGATGAGTGCTACGGTCCTTATTATTACTCGCGTATGCCTTTTCTAGCAAAAGACGAACTTGCAGAATATATAGGTGCTGTTATGGTGCCTCAGATATACGCAATACATTGGTTTTTAATTGGCAATCGCACACGTATGAACGCTGATCCTTGAGCAACATTGGTGGTGGCTGCAGATGGGGTCGGCCGTTTTGTGTACTGACTGGTGCTGTTTAGAGTACCCAGTTCACGGTATTGATGGACAAACAGACCATTGTACAGACAGACAGAGCAAAGTTTTTACGTCGAAGGTGTCCAAGAAAGACAATCGTCTTTAAAAATGACAGCATATCCACGGAGTGAATCATGGTGAGTGGGGCGAAGCGTCCGTCCTTCCATCCATGCATGCATTCTTGTGTCTGATTGCGTTCGGGAATGCAGACGGTGCGCGGGTAACACCAACGAAATGTGAGCCAAGGAAGCTGAGCGGAAGTATCTTCAACGCGCCCGCCACTCTGTTTCGTCCATGCCCCACCAACAATCCACCACGTACAGCGACTGTCTAAGGGACTGAAAAAAATTGCAACATATGCACTGGGTAAATAATGGAGAGTAACGTGAAGCATGCGTCCGTTCATTCGTTCTTGCTTCCGTCCGTTCATGCGTCCGTCTGTGTGACCATCCGTGCCTCCATCCACCCGGCCGTGCGTGCATCTTTTCGTGCGTCCGCACGTCCATCCGTGCGTGCGTCCCTGCGTTCTTCCATGCGTCTGTCTGTGTGTCCGTTCGTCCATCTAGTCAACACTCCAAGTACCCCCATCTCGCATCTTTTCACCACATATTCCGCATATAGAGCAACCGCCATCCAGCGGACACTCCAAAGATGAAAGGAGAGATGGCACTCGCACACTTTCTTACAGCTTGCGCCTCGTGTATACATCCCCCATTTAACCACCTCAAGATCATGGTATATATTAGTTCACTGTAATCATGGCACAGCGGCCCAACGCTCGCTAAACCTTTCTAAAACCAAGGAAGTTACGCCCAGCGAGTATAATTTAGCAACTCTTTCTTGTCAGATAGTGCTCAATGTACTTGCCAATGGCTGCTAATGAAAAATGAACAATCGACTTAATACGACCTATAAAGCCTTTTAAAATATTGAAAGAGCAACCTGTCATCGCACATTCTGAATAGCGTGACGACAATGCTCGGACCCAATACAAAACTTGTTTTTTTTTTCAGCTATTACCGGTAGAGCATACCCACTTCAGGCAAACTTTCTCATCGTCGTCGGCCACTGCATGAACAATTAGCACAAAATTTGTGGCAATATTTAAGCGGATACCACCCTTCTCACAAAACGGCAAAAAATAGTACAGCGAATGCCGGCCTACTACCCTAAAATTGTAATAATAATGTTGTAGTCGACATCCAGGAAGTGTCCTTGCAGCAGTTACCTAAAGAGTGTTCAAAAATGGCTCCGAGAGGCCGCTCTTCTAACTTTCCCTGTGATTGTGCTGCGCCTTCCGTACAGGCCTGGCGTTTTTTGTTGATAACCAATCTGGTGCAAGGCTTTTGCAACTACACAAGTTTATCACCTCCGGAAGTTTATATTTTAGGATTTGTGTTCCGTAAAAGGTGCGACATAGTGGTACTTTCCTGGTCTCTCGATGGCGAACTGAATATGCCTGTATTGATCCCCCCTTCTAAGCAAGCTAATTGAGCTAGAAGAAGGCAATTATTTTTTATTTCTGATTTGTGTGCTGTAAAGAGACGTTAAGAATACAGGCATGTAGTTTGTGATATGTCGTTAACGGGAAAGCAATAATGAGTGATGATCGAAAGCCACGTTACAAATGTTTTTTAACATTTTTTTTTCTGAAGTGAATGTAGTATGCACGAACTCGCGAAAGTAGTTGATCGCGAAACAAGATGACAGTATGTTACTTTTTAGTAAAACTATGAGCTGTAAATGAGAAGCCTAACATACGTGCAGAGACTTTTTTCTGTAGCATGTTATTCCTACAATCCAAGATAAGTTTTATGCTACGTAGCTGATATATTCGTCCTAAGACATTGTTTCAGAAAATACTACTCGCAGTATTATAGGTGATTGAATTATGTCTATTTTTGCACCAGTATATACTAACACTGCATCGGTGACCACATCCCCGGCTTTTGGCCGGAAAATTGCATTTTTTATTTTGGCGGCATCGACATTTAATGCATTTTGATCAGTCGCTTATCCAGTTGCACTAATGTTTTGTTTACCCTTTCGAATATGTTATACATTACTGTACCAGAAAATAGCAAACTCATGTCATCTGCGTAAATTACAGATTCGGTGGTTTATTATTCTTCCCAACGTCATTTATATACACAATAAGTAGAAATGGGCTTAGATGCTTTGTTGTCGAAAGCTCGAGAAAATTGGTTTTATGTCGAAAGAGTGGCAATTTATAATTACAAATTGGTACCTACAACCTAAATTGGAGCAGAGAAGGACCAAGACTTTACCGTGAAATCTTTTATTTGCGAGATTTTTTAATAACATGCTAAGATAAAGATAATTGAAGGCTTTTGTAAAATCTACATAGATACTCCAAGCGATGTGTCGATTTTCAAATGCATTCAAAATGAACTATTTCTTTTCTAATAGACCGAGTTCTGTTTATCGCTTTTCTCTGAAAATAAATTGTGTCATATATATTATTATCCCCCTTATTGTAAAAGCTTTAGGATCTTGACAGAATAACTTTTTTCAGGCCTTTCAAAAATATAGGCAAAAAGGACACTGTCCTGTAGTTAGCGATGTTATTTCTTTCTCCTTTTTTTATGCAGGCCGACTAGTTTTGCTACATTAATTTGTTCCCGAAAATTTCCGTCTGCTAAACAAAAGTTGAAACACGTGTTATACAAGGTGCTAAATGGTCCATGTCATGTTTGACGTGTTTCATGTTAATACAATCTGCATCGCCACTAGCACTATTCTTGAGCACTGCAAAAGTAGAAATTATCTCATCCATCTTAACATGGTTAAAAATGTATTGTTGTTACAGCGTTGTATGTGACGCGGGGCAAGGTAGTTAGTTTCTCCGAAATCGAGATTGACAAAATAGTCATTGATCGAATCTGTCATTGTTTCCCACTAAATTCATCGTCATTCTGGGTCATTTCTGTCAGAATTTCTGAATGTCGTTGTTGACATAGTAAGGTATTAGGATTTTTCCATGTTATGTCTTATCTTGATGCAGACATAGGAAAAAGAGACAGAAATAAATATCGTTCAATTAAAACATGAATAATGATTTAAACTGCTCTATGTGCCAGGAAGAGTATTGCTCGTTATCGCAGATGCTCTGGTAATGTTTGGTGTTAAAAGGACTGGTGGAAGAACACTATAAGCAGCGATGTCTATGAACAACTGAGGGCTCTTCAGTGGCTCCGTGAAGGGTAGGGGCACCATGGTCCACCGGCCCCAACGTGGGCGCAGCATGCAACTACAACTCTGTAGTTCCTTAGGACTGGAATAAATTTTGATGACTTACTGACTCATAGGAGATGGCAAATGCCAATACACATGACCTTTTTCGCAACGTGGGGGTAGAGGTAACATCCAGCCGGAGAATTCCTGCTCCTACAGTTCTCGAGGCTCAGGGTCTCCTAGGGAGGCCAAGACCTTCTCACAGCTTCTCGACCTTCTCATGAGTTCTTTTGTTTGCTTGTAATATTAGGTTTAGTGCCGCTAAGCGGCAGCTCAACGTGCCTTCAGGATGTGCTTTCTAATGCACTGCCCTTGAGTTGCACTCACATTCCCATCAGGTTGCCGCCATAAACTTGAGGAGTTACGATGCTGGGGCACCTCAAATGGGCCACATCTCCTAAAATCTCTGCCTCAAATGTTTGCCTGACGGGACTACGAAAGATTTCTCTTAATGACAACACATAAAAAATGACTAAGATCATCAATAGGGCCATGGCCATCTCGGTTTTGTGACGATTCATAATGTTGTTTTTATTCGCTCCTCTTAAATAACTTCCGTTTCTACAACGTACGCATGGCATACATCACGTTTAACTCGACTGTTTTGAAAAAAAGCAGATTTATCTGGAGTGTGTAGACTATAATTCCTAAATACCGTTTCCTGCTATCAAGAAAAAGAAACAGTCAAACTTGCGAGAAGATACTAACAGCCACATCCGCTGTCACATGGAATGTGGGATGAATAGACCTTATCCATGTCGTTTACAAAAGTGCGGCTCACATGCGCGCTATGTGCTTTAACCTACTAGGTGTATTTTTACCAATAAAAATAGTTTCTCTTCAAAAGAAAAACTTTGTACGTACACGGACGGTTTTTTGCTTGGTTTAGTATTGCACGTCTGTGACCCCCACGTGCTCCTACCAGGCACCTGGTTTAGGCGTATCGGATAATATCGCGTGTGACTATATAAACATTCTACTTTATATACTCAGTTCACGTTGAAACAGGATACTTCAAAGACAGCAAATATACTCTTGAGTTCATAACGTACACACTAGTCTGTGGTTAAAAATGATAGCCCTTGCAATATTCGCTTTTTGCTGCCTACCCTTCCTAATTAACGGAATCGCGGACATACCATATAACAACCCTGCTCTCGGGACATATCAAAACGAGGAGGCAGTAAGTATGACTTCAATTTCTAGGTGCATTTCAATGTAATTTGAATACAGATCGCACATTCCTGCGCTGGAGTCTCAAGTTATGTGTGCTGGGTTTAAGGAATAATAATTGTACCAGTTTTAGGTCCCGTAACCATAGTATGATTATGATATTTACTGTAGTGTAGGGCGCCGAGATTTCTGACCATCTGGCGTTTTTTTTATCATTGGGTGCTTACATCTGAGTACATAGGAATTCAGCAGTTCGCCTTGATCGAAATGCGCTCACAGCGGCTGGGATTCAATCGTGCCAGCCGCACGTCAGCACTCGAGTGCTGGAACCACTAGACCACCATGGCGTGTAATGGATTGGTTCTGAATTTCTTCCCTACAGAAATATCTCAAAAGACTCGAATGAAAGAAATCCAATAACCTCACCTGATTGTACGAGAGCATATATAATTGATATTGGTTATAGTAAGTTATTAGATACAATGCATGCGTGTAAAGACGTTTTCAATGTGGTTCTGGTGATTATGCACTCACGCTCATCATGTCTGGCAGTTTTAGCAAGCACGCCGACTTGTTTAGACGAGTTAGACTGCAGTATAAAAAGTCACACGAATATATGGTTTGCTAATACATTATACCTTGCAGTATACATTATACATTATACCATAATACATTACGCACGTATGAGCGTCTGCGAAACTTCTTCAAAATAAAGATAGCATGCTTACCCGAAACATTCATTTACAATTTTTGTTTTCATGATGAAAGCATGGTGCTGGTCAAGACCCCCAGTATTGGCGCTCAGTTGATGATGTAATGATGCGCTCAGTTTCATAGGCCTGGCTTCTTTAAAATATTTATGTGCCCACGCTAAATTAATATATAACTAAATGACCATAGATGTGTTTACTATGAAATACTCGCCTTGCCCTCGCTCTCCAAGCACGCATCAACCTTAGATAACATGCCCTAATCAACGCACAAGTACTACCGTAGACAGGCTACTTGGTAACAAGAGACTTTGTTTATGTGTAAGTAGGTATGTCGTAGAAGCTATGTGCGTGTAGGGCATATCGGCTGTACAAACCACTAGGAATTTTAGTATTTCCCCTAGCTCAGCGTTACGGTTGGCCGCTGCTAAGCAGTAGGGGCTGTGCTACAGTAAGCTTTTAAACTGAACAGGAATGAAATTACGCACCCGTGTGCTTAGATATAGGAGCGCGAGAAACAACCTCAGACGGGCGAAATTTTAATGCCAGAGCCTTAAGAGCTCGTTTCGCCAAAATTCCGGCGTCAGCGTCGGCGAAGGCGTCATTGGTTATGATCGAAAATTTTCTTGTCTGGGACCTAAACTTGTAGACAGGTGCCAATAAATGAAAGAATATCATTGTTCGGGTTTCAGTCACAATCAAACTCAGGCGGTGTGCGAGGCAGGCAGGTATTATAACAAAGAGCTACCCTATTTAACGAAACTGCCTCAGCGAAAACATTTCATAAATGTCATTTTAAGAAGCGCTCAGAGATACTTAATCGTCAGAAGCAGCAACACTGTCAACTAAGGAAACATCTGCGTGGGTTAGCCTGTTACTTAACGTACTCCGCTTGTTCACGCCAGGAGTAATTATGGCGTAGTTGACCCTCGACAATTGCACTTGAGGTAGGTCTTTTAGAATACTTCTAAACAAGTGGTATTACGCGTGAACTCGTTGTTTTCCTTACGGCATGGTTCAGGCATGAAGCGGGAACAAAAGCTGCCTAACAATTGAGAAGATGCGAAAGAGGCCCACTTACTCTTGAAAGCATACCATACATTATGCGTCCTTGAATTTTTCCCGTTGTTGTTGTGAGCGCCATTGCTCCATGGTTTCGCATAGTAGGTCCAGAGAATGCCCTATTGACATAAGATTTCTCCTTTTATAAAACTTGCTGTCATACCCATGGTAATGAGATGTGCTGGTTTCCTTGAATATGCATGCGTCCACCCAAGTAGGCTTCTTAAAAAGGATTTTAAACATATTCTTGGACATGCTCGTGAACTGACCATCTGCCATAATATGTGCAACAACCTGTAGTAGAACTTTAGTTCTTCTAAGATTCACATTAATTCCTGCACTTTGAGTGTTTAATGTGTTGAATGTGCTGTTTAATGTGTGCCTGAATGTCAAACGGATCAGTAGAAAAGAAAAAAAAAACGACACACCTGCGCGGAAGGTGCAGCACAGTCACAGTGAAAGCTAGAAGAGCAGCCTTTCAGAGCCTTTTGAATACACTCATTGGGTAATTACTGCAAGCACATTTGCTGGATACCCACTAGGGCATTATTGTTATCTTTCGGGTATATAGTAGGCCAGCACTCGCTATGCTATTTTTCTTCAATCTTCTGAGAAGCGTGGTATCCACTAAACACTTGCAAGGAATTTAGTGTCAGTTGTTCACGCAGTGGCTGACGACGATGAGGAATTATGGCTGCAGCGGGTATCAGCCACAGTTTATGGGAAAACAAGAACAAGCTTTTGTAATGGGTTAGAGCATTGGATTGACCACTCGTTACGTTATTCGCTTTGTGCGACGACTGGTTGTGCGCTCGCTGTTTTAAAACGCTTTATAAATCGTATTAATGCGATTGCTTTCCCGACATCATGCCTGCGTGAGGTAAGTTTGCCAACAAGTCACTAGCATCAGTGTAGCTCAGTGGTAGAGTACTGGGCGGGCACCCAGAAGAACCGGGTTCGAGTTCCTGTGTGTCTTTGGTGATGTGTTTGCCAACAAGTCACAAGCACCGGCGTAGTTCAGTGGCTGAATACTGGGCTGACACCCAGCTGAACCGGGTCCAGACTCATCCTACGGAAAGTGTCACTGATAGGAAATTTTTAATAAGTACCGAAGGCTTGATGCGTATAAACCTGAGTCAGCCATGCCGTTTCGTTTCAGTGCTTCCCCTTGCACGAAACATGGTACGTCATGTACAGAAACTATGAACAGGACCCGTATTTCGGAGGAACTGGCAAGTGTATCAAACTCTCTGAGACAGGTTCTTTCAAGCACGACTCTGCTCCTCTTCAAGTCAACATTGGCGACAATGTGCACTTGTAAGTGTTCGTTGAAAAATATATTGCTCACACGTGAGAAAAATCTGACGGCGTCTATTTCTAAAAAAAGTGTGGCAAAGGCACAATCACCTGCAAGCTAATAGCCAAGACAAGAGAGCTTGATTGATTGATTTGTGGGCTGCTAAGCAGTAGGGGCTGTGCTACAGTAAGCTTTTGAACTGAACAGGAATGAAATTACGCACCCGTGTGCTTAGATATAGGAGCGCGAGAAAAATGCCTCCCAAAACCACCATATGATTATGAGAGACGCCGTAGTGGAGGGCTCCAGAAATTTTGACCGCCTGGGGTTCTTTAACGTGCACCCAAATCTGAGCACACGGGCCTACGACATTTCCGCCTCCATCGGAAATGCAGCCGCCGCAGCCGGGATTTGAACCCGCGACCTGCGGGTCAGCAGCCGAGTATCTTAGCCACTAGACCACCGCGGCGAGGCAAGACAAGAGAGCTTCAAAAATTGCAGCCGTTTAGGTCTTGTTCCCATAACGCAGCTAAGCATACATAACTTCCTTTATTTTTGTGAGGTATTTGTTCGGTTATTCATTGAAACGTATTATTATTTCTGTTTGCTCGCCCATATTATACGTTGCCCCGTCCTAATACTCCTTGCGCAGCTGTTCTATATACAAGAAACCGGTGAAATGATTCAGAACAATCTGTTTTATTGTGGTGAATCCTTTCTCTGTTAGGCTAAGAGTGTTACTCTAACCTAATACATCTTTCGTATAACAATTTTACAGCGGAGAGCGCAACTTTGACAGTGATAGCATGGCTTGGCACTCGGTTAGAAGTTTCCGGAAAAAAATGCAATACGTATGGTTGGTGTGGATAATCAGGACAGGCATGTCGGTTTGCGTGAGACGGTGCACGCTAGGCATTTTTTCGGATTGTAGGAAGAACGTATTGGTAACCACAAAACACGTTACACATTGTTGTAGTGTTCCTCGATGTGCTCCTTCGGGACAGAGTGGAGACACTGCTTTAGTGGACGCCATTATTGATCAAACGTTATCGTTCTCTGGCATTGCCTGCCATTCAGAGAGGGATCGATTTCAGTGCAATGTGCGGTAATTTGGCTCAAAATTTTCCTTCTGGTAGTAGGGCTTGCACATGTGATATTGTTAAAAACGAATTAGGCCCTAATTATTACGCACGAAGCTTCCGATGGCAAAAAAAGGCATTCAAAGCTTATCTATTGGTCTGTCTATTGACTGGCTGCGTAGCTTTTTATGCTCTCGGAGACGATTGATTATTTGACAAGTGCCGAAATTGAAGAGGCATGACAAGACAATGTGCAAACATAAATGACTGCTCACAGCATGAAAATCATGACACGCCTTTAAAATACATAATGATATACGGGACATGGTCAAGGCGCTAGAACGCCCTTAGGTGAACGTGTATACCGAAATTCACATGGCATGATAAGAACATGAGGAAAACATACATCGATGACCATAATAAGAAAACATTGGCATGCATGTCATATGAGTCATGACATAAATGACGTGATCATGAAGCTCTTGTGGCCGCTTATGACCGCGATATGTACCAAAACTGACACGGCCTAAAAGGAGCATGTGGCTAAGAGGACTGACTGGTCATAATAAGATAATGATGTCATGCATGTAATGTGCGCCATGACACGCATCACCCGTTCCTAGAGCTCTAATGAATTTCTTTAGGTTCAGCTTGTTCTGCTTTGAACTGGGTTGATATTATATGGCCCTGCTCAGGTGTACAACCGGCAAGACAAACTCACTCCTAATTCACTTGCTTGTGATCAGCTCAATGCAGATTTGCTGCATCCGACTTAACCTTCATTGTCTTAACGTGAAAATAATCAGTTGAAAAAACTTACTGAGAAGAGACTTTCTCTAGATTAGCTTCATTAGGATTACTTTATTCTGGCCTAATCTGAATGGGCTTAACATGACCAAGCTCTGGCATCGAACCGGCTAAACAATCTCAACTCACACCAAATTAAATAAAAAAAAGATCAAGCAGGATTTCGTTCAGTTTCATCGATTGTTGACCGCATTCATACTATCGCTCAGGTGAGAGAGGAATGCTCAAAATACACCCGACTGCGGTACTGAGGCTTAATTGATTACGAGAAGACATTTGATTCAGTAGAGATATCAGCAGTCATGCAGACACTGCAAAATCAGGGCGTCCGCGAAGTAATATAAACATCCTGCAAGAAATTTACTGCGGATCGGTGTAATCAATGTGCGTCATAGAGAGAGCGACAGAAAACCAATAAACAAAGGTGTAAGACAAGGGGACGCAATCTCCTTATTGCTATTTACCGTGTATTAACCGGTTCTTGGAGGCGTAGAGTGGGAACAGTTAGCGATAAGAGTTGAAACTTTGTGACAACAATGACATGCTAGGGTTGTCCACAGGACACCCCTACATGAATATCGGATATCCACTGCATTTTTAAAACAACAGTGGCGGACATCCCTTGCAGGTCAATTTGGCCGCACTTTCCTGAACCCAGGGCTAGCCATCGCAGGTGCCAAACAAGTCCCGAAGGACACGCTGTGTACATGACAGGGAGATTAAGGGATGTTTTTTATGTAGGGTGTCTTTTAAAAGCAGTCGTCTATACTCTTTCTTTTACTCACTGAATTCGCAATGAATAAGGTTGAATGAAGGCATGAATAAGTTTTTCTGTGCTTTCAGATGCCAAATTATTCAGTTCTTCTGGTCATACACTTAAAGTATTGACATTATACTAAAGCACAGACAATTTTTTTACCAAGGTGCATTTTTGAAAAGAACTAATCAAATTACCACATCAAAGCACAGAAAGACTTCCGTGGGATATGAACTTTTTAAATCGCAACATTTTCATTAAATTAAATTTGACAGAGGGCAACATCCGCTTGCACTAAAAAAACATTGAGTCAAGTGAATTGCATACACACCTTTATTTAAGCACATAACACAAATAGCGTGCATTGCGTACTGTGACCTAAATGTTGCATACATACATGTTTAGGTTACGTGCAAGCTCGAATTGAACATTGAATAAATATGTATCGACAAGTACGGCAGACACTACAAACGAGAGACAAACAAGCTGTAATATAACAAAACAGCACATGACACGCCCCTAGGGAATGTTATATTCAGTAGGGTCGTCCTCATCCCATGTCTTCAACGGGCGCCCCAACGTTTTCATATTTCCTTGGAGGTGACCTGTTAAAAAGGAGGTTTCCTTTAAGCATATGTAAAGAAAGCAAACGCATCTATAAAATGCTCTTTTCCCGCTACATGCATGCCATTCACAGGAAAACTGTCAGAGAAAGCATAACAATATTGAAAGTAACTGATAAAAACAAAATCCAAGTTCGCCGTCACTCCCACACATTCAGAAAGTGAAGTTTTCTACACAACAACGAGAATACTTTGGAGGCGCGAAGATGGATTTTTGCGCAATCTGCACAACGAAAGGCTAACAAAGACCATCAGCTGATTACGACGCCATTAAAAGATGGCTACAACGTCATTAAACCTGTTTTCATTGCGTTGCCGTAAAAGCACCAGATTGAAGCTTACTACCAGAACACCTGTTGTTTTCTTTGTTTTTCAGGTATATGTACAAAGTAAAAGACGTGACATTTTGGGTGTGTTATTGTAGGTTGGCTCCATTAGTTCCAATAACGATATTGCACACTGTAAAGGAACGCTCCGGTTGGTGTCATATCTGCAATAACCGCACTCCATAGAAACGAGTGGTGTGCTTATTGGCCTCTTTTCAATGCCATACACAACAGAAATGGGTTAATCTCGCCTACTGAGCGTAAGAGTTCCTGTGTCATTATATGTGGCTCTCAGGAAAGAATTGGAGACAAAGGACACTTCACGCCATGACACTCGGTCATGAAACACTAGGTGTGCTTCAGGCGTCGTAAAAAATTAAGTGAACGGTTTTCCTTACATTGCAATCAAATGTGCTGTAGCCTTAGCTGTGAGTTTGGAACAAAGCGAAGAAAAAAAAAATAAAGAGCCAACGGAAGCAAAGGCAGGAAGGTCAACTCGACGCGCTTTCGGTTTGCTATCCTACACTGGGGGAAGGGGAGCAGGGATAAAAGCTATGGCGAGAGAAAGAAGAGAGCATGACAAGAACACTCCTGCATTGCATAATACAGAACACAGGATTTCAGTTACGTCACTTTGCACTTTGGATAGACGAGTATTGATGCCGACTGAAGACTTGGAAGTACTGCACACAGAGCGTCCAGCAAATGTTGCGTAGGACGAGCATACGGTAGGTTGAGCTTGCCAATAAACACGCGAAGCGTGTGTGGAAGTCACTGAAAATCTATAATGATTGCTTTGTCTTATCGAGTCAACTGAATTGTTGTTGATTCAGTGTTCACTGTTGCCGATGGGCACTGTGATTCAACACATCACTGCAACTTTCGCAATGAAGACAAGCTGCATCACATGAGTACAGGCCTTCTTTGGCCTTGTCGCTTACGCTAGCTCTCATCCATGCGTGGAACGACGACTCCGGCAATGTAGGCTATTTGAAATCTGCACCAATCGTAAAGTGTCCGTTCGACGAAGTAGCCAGTGAAGCAGGGTGTTTTAGGGGCGCTGTAGATGCAGAGACATTGTTTTTTCTAGTAGAAATTCGGTGCCGATGTCACCGCTTTCTAATGATTGCGGCAGTTTTGCAATGTGTTATATAGTCGCTTTCCATTTGTTCCAATAAATTATTAACCGCTTCGTTTTTGGCCACTCTTTTGAAGAAGCTTCGTGTGTGCATTACACCTGGAATAATTGCAGACATCGGCTAAGCAATGGTGGGCGCGATGGGCTTTAGTGAAACGAAAAAATACTCGCCAATTTTCGCAATATGATTCTGACGTCACCTCGTTTCTTGCATGTTGCGATATTGCAGTAGTTTCGGCACAAAGATCTAACCGAATGTCTGGAGTATTTTTTTGTGGCAAAGAAAACCTTCACAAGTGTTCTGAGAAGCAACAAACCACAATTCGAACGAATGTGCAGTTACAACGGCAGATTTAAAGACGCGCCTGAAGTTTTTTTTTATTTGGGGCGTTCTGTTCACTGGCAAAGAAAGGCGCAAGGATTTTACCAGAGACAAATACAAAACATTCCTAAATATGTGTCATGTGAATAGATAACCCGAAATTAGGTTCAATGCACAACTAATCTATTGCTTTCTTTCAACATTCATCGATCGATGAACCTGCTACAGAGATGTGAAAGTAACACTCATGTCATCTCCTGGTTATACTGTGAAGAACGTCCTCCACGCGGATACAACTAAAGGTATGTTTTGTACTCTCTAGGCTTATAGCAGGTTATCCATGCGATAGCTGGAATGAAGCCAAACCTTCTGACTTTTAGAGCATTAGGCGCAGTTAGAAAGCTCTGGCGTGATGAACTTGTCAGTTGCGTTGTGAGAAACGAAGGCTTACAACATGCGTATAATCTTGCCGCACATATTCGGAAGAAGGGTATGCAACATCGCACAATTCCGCGTAGTTCGTGCTTTGTTTGCATTAAAAATATTGACAGTATGTTTAGAATCAATGCTTCGCCTAAACCCAAATAACCTTCACCTCAATAAAAAGTTGAACAATTTTCTAAAATATTCCTATACGTGACAGAAGGTTACCTCTAGGTGACACGGTGCGGAGAAACTGCAGCATATAAATGGATATTTCTATCTAATAAAAAGTAGACAACTTTTTTCATCCTAAGAAAATAAATTATAAAGTGAACTGTTAGGTGGAAAAGAATGCAAAGCCGTCAGCTCCACAACTTTATCCTGTTTTTTTGTGGCTAAGCAGCATAAAACTTTAGTGAATAAATTTAGAAACCGAAATAAATATAGCGGCCCTGATTCTTCTGTCTCATGGGAAGGGGACTTTCTAAATAATTAGGTTATGAAACAGATCAAGCCGTTCAAGCAGCTACCAATCTTTCTTTTTGTACCGGCCATTTGTAGTAAAGAGGCCTAATAGTGGCTAATTGTTTATTAGGCACCACAGAAAACTAGTGAAACTCGCCATGTGCTGCGCCTTATTGCCTTTCCAGCCAAAAAAGAGACAAAGCTATAGCCTATAGTTGCCATGAAGAGCTAGTTCCATCTTCTTTGTCGGAAACTTAGACGCGCACAATATTTCATACCGTACCACAAAGTTCAGAGCTATCACATGCTTTCGGCAGGTCGGTAATAGATCTGTTAAATTCCAGGAATCATGAATGTGCACAGCTGAAAAGAAAACATGTAATGTTATTTACAGGAAAATATTAATCGATTACATCCTTTTTGCACATTTCATTACAGAACCAAAAATAAGCTTCAACTTGACTGCGATTTACGCAGACTGCAACCGATGCAAAGTGCTTCGTCATGACTACGTAGACGGAGGTATTGTGTCAAATTTCAAATTTTACAGTTTGATGTGCCTAAACGAGCCTATTTATTGAATCGTTAACGTGGATTTGCGTACGGGCTACCAAGCTACATGGTTTAGGCGGAAATGGCAACAAATGATGTCAGTTAAAGCAGCGATGCGCGTATAGCCGGATATTTGTTAATTATCACTCATTAGAGTATAAGTAATGTGGCATCTCAAATGTCTGAATTATGCCATGTCAAGTAAAATATTTCTGCAGCGTGACAACCATTTAAATAAACTGCCCAAACAAAACAAGAAGACGCAAGCTGATAAAACGTTGAAGCTTTGATAAAAACTGCGAAGTTTTCTTGCCTTTTTTTCGCACCAAACGTTCAGATGCTGTGTAATTTCAACCGCTTTAAAACGCCTTAATGGAAACGCAAAAATGCGGCGCCGTTTAAGATAGGATGCTACCTCGCTTTCGAAATTCTTTTACAATGGTGAGATAAGTTAGCTGTATGAGTTGCTCTTTCCATACAACAAAATGCGATTATTCTAGAGCTTAATAAAGGCTCCATGGATTCAAAATTGTGACGTACTGGGCACAAGAGTGCTCCATTGCCAGACTTACCCACGCCGAACCGTCACCACGAAGACGATAAACTTTGCATGAGAGTTATATCAGGGCTAACTAAAGAACTCTAAATCGAAGTTTGTGAAACCGTAGGGCTCCCATTTCACGAGTTGCTGGACGTCCTTTTGCTCATGCACTAACGCATACCTCTTGTTTCTGCAGGATGCAGCTTCTGGTTGCCTGAGAGCGCCCTTGGCCAAGATGTGCAATGCTGTAGTTTCATTTACGACTTGGTGTGTGGACCCAAATATCCACTTTGCGAGGAGATTTAATTATAAAGGGTTCAACGCCATCCACATTAGTTGTGTCCTCGAAATGGTTTGACCAAATGACTGATATTAGAAGCAGGATCAGGTTTTTGCTTATGTATTTACAGTGCGCTATAGACGCAGCGCTTGGGCAAAGGCATGGACCACAGACGAGAGGAAGTTTTTCATCAGCGTTGCAGTCTTAATAGTGGCGTAAAGCTAGGCACGCATGACACCCTTCAGAAGTTCTTGATTTCAATGTTAATGAAAGCGAAATTGTTCATGCACATGCGAAGTGGTAGTGTGGAAACTTTCAGTTCTTGTCTCGTATCTCCGAAATCCATGACCAACGCAACCATGTGTGAACAGGGCAAAACTAGCCTTTTTCAAGTCATAAACATATGGTCCTAAATCAAGGACAGACGCAGAGGCTATACAGAAAGCAATGACATCACAATATGTAAGGCTTGAGGGACGCTATAAAATATGAAATTTTTGTTAGATCGATTCTCCACATGCTTTGAAGTATCTTACCGCCTTTTTGCACGTGAATAAAACATTTTTTTGTGTCGAAAAACACTGAACGTTTCTGAGTGAAGTGCTCTACTGCAGTCACCTGTGCCGCATACAAGTCATGAATTCATCCCCTCGGCTTATGCTTTCTCCGAATTCATGGGCGTTGAATCCAGATAATTAAACAAATAAACAAACAAACAAGTAGTTAAATAAATAAATAAACGTTGCATTCTGTGGCGACCACAGCGCACAAACCTGCGCAGCCTCTGTCTCGTCACTCGTTAGCCAAGCGTGAAACGGCCACTTGCTATGACACGCTTCCGACAAGGGGCAGCGCCTCCACAGATTAGTCGGAGGCTTACGTCACCACTCGTGGCTATGAAACCACAGCTCCTAGCTCGGTTTCATCTTTTGCTTCTCCAGTGGTTCGGCTGCAGCGCCGGCATGCTCACCTCGCAGATGCTACCACGGTAATAAACAGTCATTTGGTTTTATGTTGAGGTGTGTCCTTTTATCGACACGAAATTTCGCAGCTCTATGCAGGATGAGACGGTCGTGGACCGCGATAGGAACCATAGACTTATCCCAACATTGCGTGTGGTATGTTATACCTAGAGATTCGAGGATGCGCCTGTCCGTCTGGGACTTGAACAATTGCTCCTATAGCGCAATGTTGTGCGCCTTCATCAGTTCGTCCAGGGTGTTGTGCAGGGCCAGCTCGAAGAGAGAGAGAGAGAGAAAGAATATCAGAAACGTAGGGAGGTTAGCTTGATTAAAGCCAGTTTGCCACCCTAAACAGGGGAAGAGAGAAATGAGGGAGAAAAAGAGATAGGAGGAGATGATACACATTGCACTTAACAGACACACACACACCGCACACACAGAGTAGGTTTCACAGGTGGTCGCACAGTGATGTTGCCCTCAAGACTTGTGGAAGGGCTCGTGTGGATCTCTGGGTTGAAGTACTTGAACGCTACGTACCCAAAGTTTTCTCTAAAGGGTCGATTATTCAGCCTCCAGGCGCACTGGAGAGTCCCGCGATTGGTTCAAAGTCCGGAAAAAGTCACACGGCATGGCCGAAAGTTTCTGCGCAAACGCAGTTAACTTATCATATTTGTGGGAGCCAGCCATACCCATTCGATAACTGAATGAATAGGTAAAAGAAACGTCGACCTGCAACCGCAACTGACTTTGCAATGTATATAGCACCCCGTCGCGAAGTTTCTGATGGCAGCTGTAATTGGAGTAATGAATTGAGGTTCTGTGGGCGTCGAGTGGAGTTCGGTGGAAGATTCTAATGCATAGCCGTGGCATTATGAGCGAAGTGGCGAAGTTCTATTCTAGAGTCAACCCTTGGCAGAGGTATGAGCAGTGTGGGCACGCCGTCGTGCGCACATCGAGCAGCGTAGTCGGTGAGGTGGTTACCATGAATTCCACAATGACCTGGCAGCTATTGAAGGATTGTCATGTCCTTGGTTATCAGTCAATCGTAAACCAATCAATATACGCAATATGCACAAAGTGGCTCGTGGACTTACGAGTAAGCTAGAAATCTCAGCAAAAGTACGCGGGCTTTTTTTTTAGTTCTCGTCTTTACCTGGCTTGGATCGCAGGTGCGACTGGGGTGACTTATGTGCAAGAAAATACGGTATCATTGTGAACAGCACCTTAAGATGCTCTGTTTCACCTGTGCGTTTTGATTGAGCACCCGAAACTTCTAATCGACCGGGGCCCTAATCTCGACCTTGTTTGTCAATATCGTTACGTTTGAAAGAGACCGGTTGAGGTTGAAAGGGGCCGTTTATTAGGTCGTGAGGGGCAGCTCAGAAGCGGTCGACCGGTTGGAGATCCTCCTGATCCTTTTCTTCCTTTTTCGCTCCGGGCGACTAGTGCGTTCAACGTATACGCTTCGTTGTCTTCGTGCATGTGCGCAACATCTTTCTCTGCGCAGACGAAGGCCGCTGGATGAGTCAGTCGAGTTGTTGTGGCGTGAACAGTTTCTGGCAGGCAACATGAACCACTTGAGCTTTGGCAGCTCGTCAACCACTCGCCGTGAGACGAGCTATTATATAGTCGACCTCTGTAAGTCTGTGGACAATGACAAAAGGTCCATTCATCGTAAGTGGCCAAAAACTTTTGGCATACTCCGCGCTTGCGCATTGGAGTCCACAACCACATCAGATCACCACTGCGATAAATCACTGGTCGATCGTGAATGTCATAGTATGCTTTCGCTTTGTTTTGCGATGCCAATGTGCGTAGTCGAGCTATGCGACACACCTCTTCGGCGAGGCAGAGAGTCTGGGCGACAGAAACGTTGTCGTGATCACAGAAAGGTGATATATTGTCGCTTGTGCGCCGGGGCGAACGTGCATAAAGCAAAAAGAAAGGGCTGTAGCCTGTAATCTCAGGCTTCGCAGTGTTTAACGCGTAAGTAATCAACAGGAGTACGTCATCCCAGTTCTTGTGGTTGCATGATACATACATAGACATGTTGATAATGATGTGGTTGGTGCGCTCCGCCAGCCCATTAGTTTGAGGATGGTATGGTGTAGAGTGACGCAGGCGGGCTTCACACAAACGAAGTAGCTCCTCCACGACATCTGCTGTGAATTGTCGTCCCATTATTCTTCGCAGCAGCAACTGCTCGCTTAAAAATTGCAGCTGCGTATTTGTAATCGCTCCATTTTCTAGAACACTGATTATAGAGCAGTTTTTGCTACGCTGATTTTCTTAGCCTGTAATGACGTGAACAATCAGAGTTCCAACAAGGATTCGAAGGACGTTGTTTAGAGACCTTAACTGTGAATTTAGCTTTATTTAAAGATTGTTCTTTAACATCCTTAATGTTGATAACATTTCACTCTTTATTTACTTCAGTTCGTTTTGACAAAGCCACACATAGTGTCTGTTCAAATGTTTTAAAATTGATGTGAGAAGTGGGCTGCCTGATTATTCAAGTCACGGGACATACAAGCTCCAACAATATAGGATAATGATCGCTATTTGTAGCCTAGTTTAAAGTAGACCATGTAGAAATACAGAGGCTAGGACTACAAAGGTAATGAGAATTGAAGTCTCCTATTGTTAATATTATGTCTTTTCTGCAAGGCGAAATTGTGGTATCTAAAACACTAGAATTTTGAACACATGACGGAAAATAATTTTACTAACGAAAAGGGAAGGTGTCCCGGAAGAGAGATATCTAATGTTGAAATTTCACTTTCTAAATTCATTATTTGACCTGTAACTTTTACCCGATATGCAATTATTTAAGAAATAAACACTGCTAAACCACCTCCTCGATAAGGGCGGTCTAAGCGAAATGTTCGGTAGTTTTTAACATGAAAGGTTTTTTCTTTGGAAAGCCAAGTTTCTTGCAACGCTATAACATCAGGGGAATGCTGACTACAAACGCAAAAGAAATCAGTAGTTGCGGAAAAAAAATTGACCGGCAATTTCACTGCAAGATTCTTAATCCACCTATTTTGAGAATATGCATTCACTGCCTTCTGCAATAAGCTATCTTTTAAAAAATAGTCTTTTGATGCTATTTCTTTCTGACATTTTTTACTTTTCCCTTTAGGACTCACTGGAAATCCATGCTTTCATGGCGATGCCCGCCGTTTCACTTTTTTTGTGTCGAATTCTATTTGTGAGTCCTGCGAATCGGAATGAGAGCTCCAATCCAGATGTTCAATTGGGAATAATTTACGGCCGCAGTCTGACGGACCAGCCCTTGATAAATATCCGACAACAGGTGTTGTGGGATATTCCTCTTTAACAGGTGTTGCTATTGGGTGGCTGGATTTAGAAGGCCCCCTTTTTACAGATCCTGCATTAATCTCTTTAGCTGAAGAAAGCATAGAGGCTGCATGTGGATGATTAACATTCATGAGTACGAGTGATTTGTGCATTAACTATTGGCGTAAATGACTCCGTCAGCGTCACAGAAAGGTTCTACAATAGCTTTGGTATTGTTTTCTCAAAGGTCGAGGCTATCACGTCTGACAGTGACGAGTCTTTGACATGGTTATTATGGATCGCAGCAACTGCCTACCCACGAAAGCGCTATGCGTTGGCGATTTGAGCTTCGCGTCTTGCACAACGTTTTTGCTCAATTATTTGCATAATTTAAATCTCCTGAGCTCACGCAAGGCATGCGCCATCACCAGATGGGTGAGGGACACCGCAGAGACCGCAAGAGCTTTCCTGAGCTGTGCATTCTTTAGAGTTGCGTTGTCCTGCACACATTTGACACCGCCCTACTGATCGGCAACCCTTTATGCTATGCCCAAAATGCCAGCATCTATGGCACTGCAGTGAACGAGGAGGTGCGACTTCTACCCAATATATCAGTGACCACGCTTTGATTTCTGTTGGTCTAATAGTTCCAGCAAAGGTAACTATCACCGACACTGTCGGGATCTTATTTTTGTTAGCGCTCGGTAAACTGCGAAAAACTGCCGCGCCTGCAGCATACAACATCTCTAGAATTTCGGGCG